ACTGTGTTTCTGTTCTAAATCATCCCGAGTGTTACTTATAACTCTGTACTAGTTTTCAGTGGTTTAGGGTTAGTTTCTGGACTGCCTTACAATGGAAAGTGCAGGTTTGCTATAAGCCCTTTCACAGTAAATCGGGAATAACTTCTTCTGGGTGAAAGTAGGTATTTTAGAAAATCTGAAATAAAGCAGATAAGGTAAATGCTTTCATTATTATGTAGATATTTGGGTAGTTATTCTAATGTAACAGGAATTAAATATGGACTCAGATTGTGACTTCAGCATGATATATTCAGTGTTTGACATACTTAAAAATTGGTCTGTCTTTGATAGCTGGAAGCTGTATCAAGGCTGAATTTCTTGAACCGGGTAAATACTTCTGTGTATAATTGACCCTATAAATATATACTGTCAAATATAATTAAATGTGATCTTAAATGTCCTAAGGGGGAAAAAAACTTTCATTTTATGTGAAGTTTATTGATTCAGCTGTGCTATAATATCCACGTTGAAGGTGCAGAGACAGATACTACTTGGCATGCCATTCTAATGTATCATGTGACAGTAGTTTCTGTTTGAAACTCCAGAGCTGACAGGGGAATTCCAGCAGGGTCACTCACCTATTCAAACTTTAAAGGAAGAAAAGGAAAAAAATTGCCTTTGTGTAAATATTAACCTATCTGGTGTTTTTTTGTTTTGTTTTGTTTTGTTTTTTTGGTCAGGGGAGGAGGTAATTAGGTTGGTTGGTTGGTTGGTTGGTTTATTTATTTATTTATTTATTTATTTTTAGAGAAAGTACTGTGGGATTGAACCCAGGACCTTGTGCGTGCTAGGCATGCACTCTGCCACTTGAACTATACCCTCCCTCTGCATCTGGTTTTAAGTGGCTCTTTTTTTTTAATGTTAAAGGAAAAATGCATACTGGGTTTCTTTTATATTTCATATCAAAAATAATAAATTTAATTAATTTGGAAATTAAGTTTATATCTCTGTGGTGTATTATAGCTCTTCTGGATTGGCAGAATATTCAGTGCTTAGAAAAACGGCTTTGCACTCTCCAGCCCTTACAACACAGACAGAGTAGAGGCAGGAATTCTGAAACTGTTTTCATTGTGTTTCCCTTGGTAGTTATATCAGGGGAATCAGATCTAGTTCTTGTTCTTGAAGCTTTATAAACCTGCCCTTAAATGACATCGACAAACAGACAGGCATTTGACTAAGCAAACATGGCTGGATATACATGATGAATCAAAGTATTGTCATTCTGTAAATGTCTTTTGTGTGTTCTAAATACACAATGAAATGTTGACTGTTTAGAAAATAGCTAGAAGAGTTATTCATCCATAGGCTGGCAGTTTATTTAGTCCTGATTCTTTAAATCTGTATTTTATTTAATGTTAACATACGTGATGCCTCATAAAATAATAGCATATTGAATATACTTTTAATTTTAATTATTGAGTAGCTTAAAAATCTTTCCCTGTTGCAGGTGTATATGAGTTTGTACAGCCTTTGTAAAAGGTTCAGTGTCTGCCCTGCAGCATTCTGTACAGCTTGATGCTTTCTGTCCCTTCTGTTCCATGTACCTCACACTGTTGCAGAGATCACAGATGCATTTGCTGTCTACCTTTGGACAAAGTAAGGTTTTTATAAAAGATATTTATTAAACACTGAATAGATGTAAAATATGCATAAAATAAAGGATAAATAATGTATGGTTACATAAATAGAAATATCAAAGTGGCAAATGTTGTAAATCCAAAATTTTGTTCATTATTTTTCTTCTTTGAATGTGAAATGTTTATTGTAATTTGCCATGCTAGGCCATAGCTCATAAAGTTATTTTTTAAAATATAGTTATCTTAAGTTTTAATTAAAAGCCCACATTTAAGCAGAGCTGACATTATATCAGTGCTTCTCAAATTTCTACCCAAGTACACCTTTATGGAACTGGAGAGTGAATTTGTAGCCCTTGAGGTAAGAAGGTAGCTCCCTATGCTTGAAATCTTAGGATTTGCTTGAAATCATGCAAATTTTGTATTTTTCTCTCTCTTTCAGTATATTTTCCTCCAAATAAAGCTGATGCTACATAAAAATCCACTTACCCAGTTTGAGAGCATGATAATAAATGGAATACCATTTCCCAAAGGCATTTGACTCAGAAGTGCTTTCTTGTAAGAAAGTTTTGATTTCTGTAATCTGGGTTCCATTTGGGCTTGATTGAAAGTGAAAAAGGTCTCTTGAGTGACATCCTTTGCCATCAGTCATCTCTCTTTAACCAGCTGTCTTGTGGTCTTTTACATACCCTCATTTCTTGGACAGTGCATTTGATGAAACTCTACTTCTTTGATCTTTTATCTTGGTTTCCAGGAAATGACCCTACCCTGCTTTTTTTTTTTTCCAAAACTAATTCCTTCTCTTCTTTGCTGCTCCTCTCTTCCCCCTAATTGTGTTTCTGGTCCACAGCTCAGTTCTGGCCTCTCCTTCCTCACTCTGTATCGTCTTTCTCAGCCATCTCAGTTCTGTCCTCTCACCTGAACTCTCATCCTGTAATATCCAGTTGCCTTTGGACAATTGAACTAAAATGTTTTAGGGTCACTCTCACAACCCCAGTGCTTTGCAAAGTGCCTAGCATAGTAGGTACCAATAAATATTGTTTGAGTGAATGAAATGAATCTCATTCTCCTTCAAACCAGCTTCCTTCTCTATTTTCATCCTTTGTCACTGGTATCACTATTCTTATCTCTCCCCACTATTGCAAATATTTTGTTGATTTTTTTTCCATTTGAAATGTGTCTTCTGTCTGTGTTAGTTCTTTCCATTGTATTTTCATGACTTTTACCCTAATGCAGGCTTTCATCACCTCATGCCAGGATTACTGCCACAGTTTTCCACCTGGCCTCTTTGGTTCTAATCTCTCCTCTCTCCAAGCCGTTTCCATCATAGCTGCCCTACTAACTTCTTAAATGTTTATTTCTAATTTTAATAAACTTTTAATTTGGGAAATAATTTTAGATTTAGAGAAAAATTGAGAAAATAGTACCTTCACCCAGTTTCTCCTGATGTTAACATCTTATATAACCACGGATTATTTGTCAAAATTATGAAATTATAAAGGTACATGAAAATTAACCAAAATCCAGATTGGTTTTTACCAGATTTTTCATTACTATACTTTTTCTATTCCAGGATGCCATATGGCCATTTAGTATATCTATTTATTTTTAAAGAGGTAATACTAACTTTGGAAGATCAAAAAGGAGAAAAGAATATATGTCTCCTTCCCACCTCTGAGCCACAGCTCTCCAGTCCCTTCCCTAGAGACACCCCACTGTTTCTGGATTCTTGACTGTTCTTCCAGAGAGACTCTGCCTTTACACAGACACACACAGCTCTGTATTTTACCTTTTTTCACTTAATATGCCTCAATCACTCTTTACCAATAACACAAATTTGCCCTTTTTTTAAAATTCCAATATTCCATTGGATATTTGCAATATAATTTAATTTACCAGTTCCCTGCTGTTTGACATGTTTTGCAAATAATGTTGCAGTGAATATTCATGGATATATATCTTTTTATATATGTATGTTTTTAGTTACTGCTGAGTGTAAGGGTATATGTATTCATAATTTGATTGCCAGTTTGCTTTTTAGAGGTTCTACGAATTCATCTTCCATTATTTTCCCATAACCTCACCAACATTTTGTCTTATGCAACTTTTTGAACTTCACCAACCTGATAGGTTGAAATGATGTCATTGTACTTTTAATTTGCATTTCTCTTACAATGAGTGAGGTGGAGTGCCTTTTTATATATTTGACCCATTTATATTTCTTCTTCTATGAACTGTGCATATAACTTTGCCCATTTTTCAATTAGGTTGTTAATGTCCTTGTTCTTTTCCTTCTTTAAAATCTTGCAATTTTACCTGTTTTCTCATTTATTAAGTTAAAAACTTAGTCTTCTTTTCAAGACTCTACATTGTATGTTTCAACCCTAATGTCACACTACTTTCCAACAACCACTCCTGCTTGGTAAGTGTGGTTTCTATACTCTCCCAGGGGCACGCGGTGCTCATTCCTCCCACCGTGCCTTCTTTCACAGTATTCCCCCACTTCCCCCTCCACTGTATCTCCTCTTTTAAGACAGAGATTCTTGTCACTTCCTACAATTGGGAAGACTTCCTTTTGATTTCAAGTAGACTTCTAGAAAGAATAACTGATAGTTTGTAAACTCTTAAAAAAGATGATAGTCACTAAGAGGGCATTGAATTACAAACAGAACAAAACAAAACAAAAATCTGCTCATATCAAACTAACCACATCTCCATTTCCAGTAGAGTTCTGGTGGATTAGTATGCTGTAGACATATCTTCATTTATTAAGTCATTTTATTCTCTTGATACATTTGACAAGTTTAAAAAAAAAGTAAGCTACACGAGAGTAGGTGTTTTTGCAGATGATGAAACTTGTATACCCAAAGAGTATTGATTCATGGACCAATGTCAAACTGAAGGTCTCTAATAACAGAACTCTATTCTCTGTTTCAGCACTCTATTCTTGATCTTGACTGCTCAGTATCTATTTACTAATAGCTTGGTGAATACATAGGAATTAAGTCAATGAAGTTAGGCTTAAAAAGATACTTCCAATGAAAGAGTACAGAGGCATGATTTCAAAACTATCTTAATGTTAGAAGGATAAGCTAAAACCAACAAAGTGAGATTTAAAAGGATTGAATATATAGCTCGACATTTCATTTCCAAAATTAGTTGAAAAAATGGATGAGGCACCTGATATGATGTAGTTTGTGTGACACTAACTTAACAGCATAATGCAGTAAAAATCTGAAACAATCTTGAGTTGCGTTTATAAAATTATAGCATCTGGATTAAGGAACTTGATAGTTCCACGATTTTTTTTTTCTCCTCATACCTCATTTGGAGTATTCTATCACTTCTGAGCATTATGTTTTCAAAAGGACATTTTGAAATTAAAGTACCTGTATTATTTTTCTATTGCTGCTGTTAAAAATTATCACACTTGGTGGCTTAAAACAATATAAATTTATTATCTTACAGTTCTGTAGTTCAAATATCCAATGGGGGTCTCGCTAGGCTAAAGCCAAAGTATTGTGAGGGCCATGTCCCTTTCTGGGGCTTCTGGAGAAAGTATGTTTCCTTGCCTTTTCCACCTTCTAGCAGTGCCCTTCCTCCATCTTCAAATCCAGCAAGAGCGAGTCAAGTCCTCACAGCACCTCTCTCTTACCACAGCTGGGAAAGATGAGACACATCTGGATAGTCACCCCATCCCAAACTTCTTAACCTTAGTTGCACGTATGAAGTACCTTTGCTGTGTAAGGTAACTTATTCAGATGGTGATTAAGGTGTGGACATCTGTAGAGGGGCCATTATTCTGCCTACCACAGTGCTTATTGCAGAGGACCACCAGAATGGTGAAGGGGCTAAACTGGATACAGAGAATCAGACTAAGAAGAATTGAAGATGATCCTGAAATTTATTGCTTAGGTGAGAATGGGATAATGTTTATAAAGTGATTAGTGCAGTAAGTACATAATAAATGGTTTCTACTTCAAAGGCTAATGCACAATTGCAGAAATATAATAGCTCAGAGGGAAAGAAGCTTAGGGATGTGGAAAGAGATGAAGCAGCATAACATTTTATCTTGTGAAGAACAGAATTTGGGATCCAAATTCTCACTTTACATTAGATCAGCAAGTGGTTTCAGTGTCAGAAAGCACTAAGTTTAACAAGAACTCTGCATTACTTCCCTAACTAGTGAGAGAGTTGGGGAGAATGGAGGTGACGGGATACTATCGTAGCAACTTCTGGCCTCTTTCTGCCATGATTGCACAATGTACGTATTCTGAGAAGGAGGGAAAACTTTTATCAGAGGACGAAAGCAAGATTTTTGATGCTTAGAGGACTATTGTATTGGTTTGTTTGTTTTTTTCCGGGAACTTACAAGAAGGAAATCTCCTCTGAAACCAAAACTCAGCCATCAGAGGTTATGAAATTTTTCAGGCTTTCTCTAGAATCTTCCTTGCATTTGTCTCTTAAAACATGTTCACCTTGACCTTTGAGAAGTTGCTGATAAGTGGATATCAAGCAGGAGTTAAATTAACAAACCCTCCCACCTCGTTGAGTGGTAGCTTCCAAGGCCATGGTAAATGTGTATCAGTGTGAACTCGATCCAGAACCAGCCAGGAAGGGAACAAAGTTTAGTCTGTGAGGAAATAGGCGGCTGTTGGTAGTTTCATGCTGTCTGTGCAGACTTCAGGTTGCTGTGGTGTAAGTAGTTTTGTTTTGTTTTGTTTTTAGTATTTTGATACTTGAATATGAAAATATGGTAGGAACAATTCCACCTAAGATTAAGGTCTTACCTGGCCCTAAATCTTATGTATTAGACCTACGTACAAGAAAGTTTTGGCATTTCACAAGTAATTTTCTTTTTTAAAATGAAAAGGAAAGTCATAAAGTTTTTCAGCAAGTATTCTGCTAGCACAGGACCTCCTGCTTGCATGAGATGACTTTTAATGTCTTATCTTTGATTGAATTAAGGTGCTTGTGGTCAGAAAATAAAAGTGATCGAATATAAATCTGGCACCCAGAGACTGATAATTTCTAAGTAGTATTTAGATTTTCCCTGATATTCTTTTCAGTTGCTTTTCCTTTAGTTTAGTTTCATGTTACAAGTTTATGTTAGCAAGTATGTGGTAGTCTGTTAGTAATTAAGCTGGAGGTTTTGATGTTCAAAGACATCAAGTGAATGAGAACTAAGTAGAACTAATATGGCATAATCAGATGTTGCGATCCTAGATTTAAGAGCGGCAAAATGTGTTTTCAAAGGGGAGTAAATTTGTGAAGTGGATGAAAATGGCAAGCAGCCTTAGAAAGTTCGTGTAGCTTTGGAGAAATCTGTTTTTAAGATTTTGACATGTGTACTAATTTTCCAGACTGAATTCCTAGTACCACAGTGTGTAAAATAAATTTCATATGTGAAATTAGAATTGCTGTATTTCAGCTGTAGTAGTTCTATGTTGAGATTCGGAGTCTAGGAACTACACATTGTTATACAAACATTGACTTTATTGAGTGCGGCTATGAGAGTATTAAGATTGCATTTGGTGTTAGGGAGGTTGATATTTTCTATTTCCCTTTGCCATGATGTATTAAAAAACAAAAATTAAAAAAACCTCCTGGTACTCCACAATTGTACGACTTTGAACATAGAAATAGTTTTATGTGGTTAATATATTATATAAAAGTTATAAAGTCTGGCTGTGGGCCAGTAATCTTTCAAATTACTTAGAGAGTACTGAGATGGATTGTTTATGTAGAAGTGCACTGGGTTTCCCCTCTCCTCTAGCTGCATCTTAGACCTCAGGGACATTGAGTCTTTTTCTCAAACCTGCCTGTTATTCCTGCTGGACTAAGCAGAGGCCCAGACAATGGAATTGGGCCCCAGCTGACTCTTGGTGGGATGGAAGCCCAAGACACACTGTCGTAAGCAAGCTGTAGAACTGTAATGAAGGGAAACCTTGTCTCATCCTTTAGATTGCTGAATTGCAGTGATTCTAGGTTCCTGAGCTAATTTAACTCCCCCAACTCAAAAACCACTGCTAGGCCAGGCTACTTATTTTGTTATTGGTTCATGGAGGGGAGGGGATTGGGTATCCTGGGAGAGGAGCCAGCACGGCAGGTGATACTATTACCAGGGAAGCAGCTATTTCCTAATCATATTTGAAATATTTCAGTCTTTGAACCACCTGGAAGGCCATACAGGTGTGCACTGGCAATATCTTAACCAGAACCCTTTCAGATCTTTTTAAAATCTCCAATAGGTGTCTCTAACATCCAAACCCTTTGCTCCACAAAGCCCATAAGACCGTCCTTCTGACCGAAGGTTTAGCATCATTGCCTACCATTGTTCTCACAGTTTGCACCAGCTACGTAAATTTTTTTGCTGTTCTGGAACACATGAAGACTGTTCCTGCGTCCTGGCTTTTGCTGCCTGGAACGCTTTCCCCTGCATTGTTTCTTCCTTCCCTTCATTCAAATGCCTCCTCCTCAAAGGCACCACTGCTTCACTTTCACTATATCACTCCTTTTTCCTTTACCCTGATTTACTTTTTCTTAAATAACTACCTGGCATTATTTATCTTATTCAGAATATATATATATAGTCTTTTCCACTAGAATATAAATTCTCCGAGGGCAAGAACTCTATCTTGTTCAGTGCTGTATTGCCAGTGCCCAAAATAGTGCCTACCTGACATACAGTAGATACTTGGTAAACATTTGTTTTATGAATAACTTAATGTCAGTTGGTGCCATTAAAATTTATTTTTAAGCATAGGGATTTTAATTGAATTTTTGAATAGATTATATATTCACATGGTTCCAAGATCAAATCATTTTAAAAAGTATACATTGAAAAGTCTTCCTTCCCCAGTCGCCTACCCATTTAGTTCCCATTTCAGGGCACCCAAATCACTATTATTATTTTTTTCATGTATCCAGAATTTCTTTATATATCAAGGCAATATAAAAGTATAAACAGATTTTTACTTCCTTCCTTTTTATGCATACTATTATATGTACTAGTCTTAATTTTTTCACTTATGATATATGTTGAATCTCGTTTCATATCGGTACATAGTGAGCATTCTCATTTTTAAATAGCTGCATGTTGAATATATGTATATTCATGTATGTCTGAAGCAATGTGCTGTACACCAGAAATTGACACAACATTGTAAACTGACTATACTTCAATTTAAAAATAAATAAATAAATACATAGTATTATAGCTGCATAGTATTTCAATGAATAGATGTATGACAACTGATTTAACATCATCCAGTAATGGGCATTTTGGTTGTTTCCAGTATCTTCTTATTGTAAACAATGCCAAAGTTCACAATCTTGTGCACATACCATTTCACACATTAAAACAATATTAAAGTCACCAGAGTAGAATTGCTACATCAAAAAGTGTCCTATATTTTGCCTAGCTGTGTTCCATAGGGATTGTACCAATTTGTATTCCTATAAGCAACAACCATGTAAGAGTGTTATCAGACTTTTGAATTTTTCCAAATAGCTTAAATAATGGTTTCAGCAGGGTTTTTTTTTAGAATTTATAATAAAATTTGTGTTACAGTTTTAAAAATAGTTTTTAAAATTTTAAATTGTGATTTAAAAAATAACAAAATTTACCATCATAACCATTTTTAAGTGTACAATTCAGTAGTGTTAAGTATCTTAACATTATTATGAAACAGATCTCTAGAACGTTTTCATTTTGCAAAACTGAAACTCTTTTTGCGGGGGGTTGGTAATTAGGTTTATTTATTTATTTATTTTAATTGAGGGACTAAGGATTGAACCCAGGACCGTGTGCATGCCAGGCACACACTTGCACTGAGCCATAACCCTCCCCCCACAAAACTGAAACTCTTAATCAACTATACTTCAGTAAGAACAACAACTTCAACTCTTTACTCATTAAATAACAACTTTCCATTTCTCCTTCCCTCAGCCCCTAGCAAGGGGCTACTGTCTGTTTCTATGAATTTGTCTAGTATAGATATCTCATATAAGTGGAATCCTACAGTATTTGTCTTTTTGTGAGTCTTATTTCACTTAACATAAAGTCCTCAAGGTTCATCCATGTTATAGCATATGACAAGATTTCCTTCATTTTTAAGACAGAATAATATTCCATTGTGTTGTAGATATCACATTTTGTTTATTCATTCATCCATCTATAGACAAGTAGATTGCTTCCACTTCTTGGCTATAGTGACTAATGCTGCTATGATTGTGAGTATGTAAATAACTTTTTGAGGTTCTGCCCTCAGTTCTTTTGGATAAACCCAGAAGTGGGATTGCTGGATCATATGGTAATTCTATTTTCATCTTTTGAGAGACCACTATAGTTTTCTTAGTGGCTGCACCATTTTAGCATGGTTTTAATTTGTATTTCCCTCATTTTGAGTGGGATTGAGCATCTTTTCATATTTAAAGCAACTTGCTCTTTTTTTCTGTAAACTGATACTTTGCCCTTTAATGAGTTTTTTTTTCCTATTTTTAATTTGATAACATTTTTTGCTTTTGTGCCTCCTAATATTCCAAATTTAGTAATCATAGGTATTGGTTTGGAGTAAGTGTGTCTGGGTTTGAATTCTAGATCTATTAATAGATGTGCAAAATTGATTGGGCAAGTTATGGGACATTTCTCAGCCTCAGTTTTCTTATCTATAAAATAGGAATATCACTGAGCTTTACAAAGATTAAATGAGATGATGTATATTATGTGCTTGGTATAGGGCCACCATGATAGGGCAAGAAAAAAGAATAAAAGGCCAAAGTTTAGAAAGGAAGCAAAACTGTTATTATCCACACACAGCATGATTACATACATAGAAAACCCTGCAGAAGCTGTGAAAACTATTTGATCTTATTAATTAATTTAACAAGGCCATAGGTTATAATCAGTATAAAAAACTGTATTTGAAATAATTAGTTCAGCTAAAACAATTAGAAAATAAATGAAAATATCACCATTAAAGTACCAAATACATAAAAATAAATCTTTAAAAAGATCACAAGACTTCTATACTGAGAACTGTAAAACATTGCTGAGAAAAACTAAAGAAGATCGAAATAAATAGTGTAATATATATATACAGTTGACTCTTGAACAAGCCGAGTGTTAGCAGAGCTGATGACCTTCACACAATTGAAAATCTGCATATAACTTATAGTCAGCCCTCCATATATACAGTTCCTCCATATCCAGGTTCCAAATTCGCAGTATCAACCAATCTCAGATAATGTAGTACCATAGCATTTACTATTGAAAAAAATCTGAGTGTAAATGGACCCATGCAATTCAAACCTGTATTCAACCGTACCATAATCATGGATTATAGAACTCAAAATTGTTGAGATCCTGATTCTCTATAAATTAATCTATAGATCCCATGCAATCTCTATCAAAATTCTAGCAGGCATTTTTGAAGAAATTGTCAAGCTGATTCTAAAATTTATCTGGAAGCACAATGAATATAGAAGAGCTAAAACAATCTTGAAGAGAAACAAGATGGGGGGATATGTGATTTCAAGACTGTAAAGCTACAGTTAACCAAGTATTGCCTTAAGGATAGATAAGTATATCAATCGAACAGAAAAATGCATCAAGAAATAGATATACACATAAAAGGTCAATTGATTTTTGATCTAGGTAGCAAGTAAATTCAATGGGAAAAGGATAGTCTTTTTAA